AAAAAAAAAAAAAACACTCAAAATTTAATGGCCAATTTCATGGAATTCAAATATTTTGTTCATTTTGGAAATGAAATCGCAGTTTATAACTGTTTTTATTCAGCTTTATAATATAAAGTCTTTATTCCAATTTGTGAGGATTGAGCCCTCAAGTAGGGGCCTTGCCATGATGTACATGTTCTGGGCTAAGGCCCCAGCAGGCGGGCCAGCAAATCAACAAGAGCCCTCTGTGCCAACATTTCATGAAGAGGGGTCTATACAGTTACAGCACGCCAGTTGGTTGGAGTGCACCGAGCCTCAGATTTCAGCCAATGCTGAAATGCCCAGGGCCTCTGAGTTAGTTAGGCCCTGGGCACTCGAACGTGAGGCCGACAATGCATGCTGGGTAGAGAGGCCGAAAATGCCAAAGGGAAATCGGCCCACTGTCTGAATCTGGCCGCAGGCCTTGATGAAGGAGGCGCAACTGCATTACCCCGGGGCCCAACTGTATCGAGTTGGCTTCAGCCTCTGGGCCTCGGTCACAGGCTGAAGGGAGGCCGCCCACACACTGCACTGGCATATAGGCAAGCAGGGCGAGGCAGCGGGCATCTTGGCCAATGCTGGCATATGCGGGAACGCTGCGCAGATGCAAGTGTGCAGCGCTATCCAGAGCAGCGCTGCGCTAAGACAGGGCAGGCCAGTGCTAGGCGGTAGGGCGCTGCCTGCGTGCAGGGCACTGGCGGCCATAGCCGGGCCGCATGAGGGTGCAGGGGAGGTGAGGGCGAAGGTGGTACTTCGGAGGTGAAGGGCGCTGTGTGGGTAACAAGGGAGAGTGTGGGGAAGAGGACGCGTACCTGGTGATGGTGGAGATCTGCATTGGTGTTGACATCATTACTCGCTCAAGTTGTCTGGTTGCTGTTCATTGCTGTAGTTGTAGGATAGGCTGTAGAGTAGATAGGGCGCCTGGCGCCATTCACAAGAGAGAGCTACATTTGGGTTATGCTGTTGGTGTTGCCCTGGTGGGCATCGACATTGACTCACGATTCTTCTGTATCATTCTCAATGGGATGGTTTCTCGGTTCCATGTGCTATCTGCTTTGGCTTTGAATACTTGGACTTCAGTGTGATTTTGCATTCTGGATTTCTGTGCTTCGTCCATACTCATGTTCCTTGCAAATTAATTTGCACAAAGTTTTTGCACGTTCGTCTACACAACTTAACAATTAATTTCCACAAGTTGATGCATGTTCGATTTCGTTACAAATCAGTTAACGTCACCTTGACGATGATATCCGGAGTCACAAAAATGAGTTATACGGGCAATGTATACAACCCAGCTTTCTGGTCAGGTACGGTGCCCGAACTGCAATTGCAAACTGTATCTTGCTTGGCCCATAGTGCAATTATAACTCGTTTTTGTGACTCTACTGAAGTTACCCCTTTTTTTTTTCCATGTAGGGTAGAGATTATAGTGTCTTCGTTACGGCGACGCAACAAGTTATAGTCCATTGACTACATTCATTCAATGAACGTATCCACAAACACACAGAAAGTACACTTGGAAAATGATGATAGTCAACTTTCTCCCAAACTAGTAAACTTCACTTGGCACGATAGATAACAGGGGGTGACGCCCAACGAAGTCATGTGGACCTCTTTGGTGACCACATACTACCGGTAGCGGCTTCCCAACGCTGCATTTCGGCCAGTGCCAGACCAGGTTTACAGGGCTACAAACAAGTTGACAATTAACTTACAGAGTACTCAGCACTACCTTCTTCCCCCAAATACAACGTAGTACGCTCATTATAGCTGTATTTGGGGTATGTTTCAGTCTAAATACAGCTATAATGACCGTACGTTGAATTCGAGGGAAGAAGGTAGGACTTGTTCTACTGATTCCTAATCGAAACCCTGGTCTCTTTTCCCAAAAAAAAAAGAAAAGAAACAAAAAAAAAGGACATTTTTTCTTTTCTTTTTTCTTTTAATTGCTCCAATCTATTCGTGGGGAGCAGCACGTGCTGGAGCTCCTCTTAGTCCTCTACTGATTTTTTTTTCTGGATAATAATTATAGTCAAAATTCATCAAGGTCAAAAAAAAAAAAAAAAAAAAAATGTCCACTGTTCGTCCTGGCGTCTGGCCTCTGAGGATACCTAGAGACGCTTCACGCGCCTCCTCTACCAAGCCTGCTGAATTACTCACGCACTTGAGCGGCATTTTTTTCTGCCGTATTTCTCGGTAGTGTATGTAAGAATTGCGAGTGTTCTAGCAGCATATAGCCATATTTTTTTAACTGCCCTAAAGTTGATGGTTAGAGGTACTGCGGACATTTACTGGGGCTTCCATTTACTGGGGCTTCCATTTACTGGGGCGTACTTCTCCTTTTCACCTTCGAGCACCGGGGCAGGTGTCAGGCTCTATACATCATGTTGCCACTTGGCAGAGTCCTGCATTTTTAATAAATAAAAACAGTCGCTACCCCCTGTCACGTGCCGCTTTTGCTCTTTTTTCAAAGAGAAGCACTCCTTCCCCCGAAGTTACGGAGTCATTTTGCGGAGTTCCCTCAATGTTGTAATTGTGGTCAGATACATCCAAGAAAAAGCTACATCGCAGTCTCGCACGAGGACTTCTCTACTGATTTTTGAAGCTCTCTTGAGTCTCTTTGATCTTCTTGTGCACAAGGTCGAAGGGCATGCATCGTTAGACTAGCGTATGACTAGCGTAGCAACCTGCAGTGCAATTGTACACTGTGTGGTGGCTGCGTCGACGCCTGTGTTGGGTGTGTGTGACTGGGTACACTGGGTCACGGGGGAAAAACGAGCACCCATGCTGGGGTGGGGTTAAGTGCTCATCTTGGGGCTTAACTTTCACCCCAGTCCACTTAGCCGTTTGGTTGAGTGTTTGCCTCCTGATGTGGAGGTCGCGCGTCCGATCCTTGTGGTCGGCTCGTGTTTGGTCTATGTTCGCATTGTTCGCATGCATCGTTAGACACTCCTCAGGACCTCAGGGAAGCGATTCCAAGGATTTCATCGTCGTTCCACCTGTCCTCAGAAATGAAATCAGAAATGAAATC